ATCTTGACTCCGCCCCAACAGGAGACCAAGGACAGACCAAGTATTTACAATAAAGCAGGGTTGGCACCACTTTCATTAGGTCAAGGGTAACGCTTAGCTAGTATTAGGATGCTAGTATGCTGGAGTTACGATCCAGAAAAGGGGATGAAGTCAAATAAAAGAAGTGAGCTAATTGAGGGGAAGAACCTTGAATGAATTTACATTATATTAGAAACCAATGTCAAGCAACTGACTCCTTAGTCCTTACATATTTGAGAATGTGAATTTTAGCTAAATAGACATTACAATTCGGAGGTAAATATTGAAAGTATTTTTGGGGTGGGGAAGGGACATATCCATGGTTTGGGGGAAATCTGTCATCCTGGGGCTGACAATGTTACACCCCTTACTTGGAGGTAGACAGGCAATGCTGAGAAAGATTCCTGGGGGTATCAGGAGGTTTCAGTAAAGAGTAAGGAGCAGGAAAACTGAATTGTCTCAGTACTGGAGCTTACAGAAGTAGATGCTATTATATCACAACAGGCCAACTTTTTGATGCCTTCCTCTTTTCTCCTGCCACTTGAGCATCTTTCTAAGATGCGGTTGTGGCTGAGAGTTTCTGCATCTTAGATAACAGCACCGAATTCCCCCCATTTTCAGTCCAGAGCTCTCATTAGGAACAAATTTCACAAGAGGGCAGTAGAATCCATCTTTATGGATTTTCCTGCTGGCTAAATCTTAGACTGATTCATACTTAATTCTTTTTTCCTCAGGTAATTCTGTCTTATGGGGTAACAGCTTTACACATAATTATTTCTGATGGCCCAGTTTCTCAGTTCTTGCTTTTTGCACCAGAAAATGACTAGCCCTATGGGAGCGGTAGTTAATAAGGTCACTATAGCCATTTATTTCTGTTCTGCAGAATGTAAATCTTGAAATCCACCAGGTGCTTCCTTTTTAATGTTGGAAAAGCAACTACTGCCAGATCTTCATGAGGCAATTAAATTGCTGTGAATCCCAATGTGCTGGAAGGCTAGAGCATATACTCTATGGATGGGCAGAACGAATAGTAATGAGGAATAATCAAAACACAGTTTCTAATCTCAGCCTTGCATTTGGGACCAGTTTACTCGATAGACTTACTCAGTTAAGCCTAGACACCCTTAGAAGCTGTTTCCTGACCTTCAGGAGAGTCCTTGTCTTAGCTGAATATCAGTGTTTTGCACTACAATTGTACAATTGTACATAAAAAAACCCTTGCTTTGTTCATTTGTTGCATTTCCACCGGTCATTCTTCTACCAAATTCAAAGTGATTTATCCTTCTTGTTTGAGATAGGTTAGGCTGAGAAATGTGACTGATCTGAAGTCACCAGTGAACCCTGAGATGGGATGAGAATTCAAACTTGGATCTTTAGATGCTCATCCAACCCTATTTCTAATTCTGAGATAGGAATGGAAAAATTCTCCTTTGGATTCAAATGCAGTGAAATTTTGGTGATTTACCAAGGTCACCATTGGTTATTTGATCAATAACTTACGGAATTTGCTTTGCTTCCCCAAACTAGGAAACCGATGGAGAGAACCTCATAATTAAAAAGGGACAATCCCTAGATAGTCACTGCTTTTGATGGAAGTAAGATTAATGTAGAGATCACTGAGAAGTCATCCCAGATCCTCAATCTGTGCTTCTTTGAATGCAGACGCGATCTGTGGATTTGGGAAGCAGATTTTCTTTTTAAGTATCACCAGCAAATGCCTGATATAAAATCGTCTAGGTCAGTGATGGCTAACCTTTTTGCCATCACGTACCAAAAGCAGGGGGAGCACGGGGGGGGGGGTTTTGCAAGCACACGTGCCCACATCCATAATTCTATGTGCACCCCCCCATGTGAATGCGAGCGCAACTCCCTCGCGCTCCCCCCACTTTTGGCACGCAATGGCATGGGTGGCCCGATAGGCCCATTTTTCACTCTCCTCAGTTGGGAAACGGGCTGTTTCCGGCCTCCCCAGGCTCCTAGAACGACTCTGGAGTCTGGGGAGAGTGAAAAATGGGCCTTCCCCACCACCTGGAGGCCCTCCGGAGGCCGGAAACAGCATGTTTCCTGACTTCTGGTGGGCGCAGAAGGCCTGAAAATCAGCTGGTCAGTGCACACGTGCGTGCCAGAGCTGAGCTCATGTGCCCACTGATTTGGTTCTGCATGCCCCCTTGGCACGCGTGCCATAGGTTCGCCATCACAGGTCTAGGTGTTCAAAGATTTATTTTCCCACTGCTGTATCTCAATTAGTAAAACTCAAGTGCTTCCAATCCATGCCAATAGGATTTCTGAATGACCAAAACCATTTTTTAAAATTCTTTGAGGAAAAGAAGTTATGAATGAAAACGAATAAAAAAACTAAGAGACAGAAATCCTCATGTGCTTATTACCCAGAGACTGGTTTGCTAAACCAGATCTGCCTTCAGTTCAACCTAGTTTTAAAACAGAGGTGAAAGTTTGAAATTGCCTTGCTTCCAAAACAAGAGTTCTTACCACTGCTTGGGCATTTAAAAATATATTTAGTTATGGATCTTTGAGCTGCATCAAACACTACCTCAGGAAGTCCCATTTTCACTTGCAGTGCTAAATTCAGATGTGTGAACAGGATGAATATTTAACAGAGAGAGGGTTGTGGTGGAGTGACAAATATATATGATTCTCAAAGAGGGCTGAGGTTGTGGTGGAGCATTGTGAGAGGATTGTGGTGGAATGAACAGTAGATATGATTCTCACCCAAGTGTTTGTGAACATCAGGACTAGTTTACTCATAAGGGAAGAAGAGACAGCTGCAGAGAAACAGTGGGAAAATGATGGAGAACACAGAGGGGGTATCACATGGTCTATCTGGCACTCTATCAATTAGCAAAAAAAGGCTATCCTTTGTTGTTTTGAAGTTGGGTTGATCTGCCAGTTCAATCAGATTCCAAATGTGTTATTTCAAGCAGCCAAAACCCAGAGGGTCAAATCTGGAATCATTTCTATCTTTTTGATGCCAGATTATTTCAACTATCTATCATTCATTATACCACATTGGTAACTGGGTGGGTGTAAAATAATATTTTACCAATTGTTCTGGGAGACTACTAGAAGGACATTATATAAAAATTTTAAAGCAAAAAGCCTACAGCCATAGAGCTGGTAGATTAATTTTGTACTTGCAATGGTCCCCTTGAGTTTGGGTAGATATTTTTTTATCAGGATCTCCAAATGCCCAGCATAGTTTGCGCATAGAGTTTGTCCATAAACAACTCTCCATGGAGCTGTTATAAGGAATCTTAATTCTGAACTGAGTAGGGGTTGTCATTGAAAAAGTATGTGGGTCTGCACATTTGCACAGAGTTCGATCTAGGAAGGATGACTAGGCTTTCTAGGTAGAGGGAAGGCACATTTTTGCTGTGTGTGTGCATTTAAATGTGTACGTGACAGACAGAATGTGAGAGAGGGGTCCTTGGTTTTCATTGAGCTTGGTTGTTTTCTTGCAAAAAACAAAGTCCAATCAAGCAACCACCAAGAATACTCCCACCAATACAGACAGGGCAAGCCACTTGCATACAAACAGATAGTAAACCCTGCTCTCTTCTAACACTGATGGTGTTACCTAGTTGGGCAATAAAACGTCCACAAGAAAAAGAAACCAAGCTCAGAGAGCACCATCCCTCAGCTACATATATTCTCTTCTATTGATATGCAAGAGTTGCAGCGTTTCCTATGTATGCATGTACAGTATATGGATGTGCGCATGTAAATACATTCCTGCTTTTAAGTAAGGATCATGGCCATGATGTTATTGAAGTGGTTGTAAAATTTTGGCCCTGGGGGATGAAAGTTTCAGGTTGCTTATTTTGTTTGCATTGTTTCTCCAACTTTAGGAAGGTTTCCCACACAATGTTATCATTCAGATTTCCTGTCATTGCTTTAAAAGGAAATTTTCACAATGTCTGGAGACCTTGATGTTCTATAGATAAAGGAAGAAGATATATTCAAATTCCCTACTGCGGAAACTCATTTGGAGAGCACTAATCTAGATTTTCTAATAGTTTTCGTTCCAATAATTCTGCGACACCTAACAGTGGCTCATCCCTCTCTTTCAGGATTGAATTTATTTCATTTGAAAAAGGAGAAATTGTATCTCTGAGCATTTATGATCATGTTGATAGCTTTCTTGTGGCATCAATGGCCATAAATGTTATTTGTCTACATAAGAAGGGAGATAGCTGGGAATCTCTACCACTTTGCAAAAAAAAAAAAAAAGGTAAATGAAGAGAGCTAGATCCATTTCCCCTTCTGTCCAATATGTTATTCCCTTTCCCTTTGACATCACAATTTTTATGCTGTGAATCAGGGCACCAAAATGTAGTGCTGTTAAAAAAAAGTCAAGATGAAAGCCAAGGCTTTAGGATTGCAGTCCCACCCCTTTTTACACTGTGTTAAACATACATTAAAAAAAGGGGGGGGCAGCACTTCAATCATGCAGTTGCAGCCCCCAATTTTTCTTGGCCCTTCCTGAATGTCTGTGTGACAAATTCCAACATGATGTAAATTGGGCCCTGCCACTTAAAATAACAGATTAAACCAGGGGTGTCAAACTCAAGACCCCGGGGACAGATCTGGCCTGTGGGGTGCTTAGATCAGGCCCGCGGGGCCGCCCTGGAAACAGCAAAGGACCAGCCCGCAATGCCCCTGCCAGTGAAAAACGGAGCTTGGTGGGGCTGCGTGTGGCCCTCTTGAGCTCCATTTTCACTGAGGGTTGCAGGAGGTCGTCGCAGCCCAAAACGGAGCCCAGGAGCCCGTTTTCATAGGCAGAGTGCTTGGGCTGCCACAGGTACCCCTGACATGAGTGATGTTGACCTGGCCACACACACCCAGCCATGCCCCCCCCCCCAGGTCAAACACAACCCTGATGTGGCCCTCAATGAAATCAAGTTTGACACCCCTGGATTAAGCCCTTGTCTCAATGAAATAATTTCACTCCAAAGAAAACGAAGTTTGTTTGGAAAACCATTGTTTTTCATAAGTTAATAATACTCATCAATATTCAAAAGGTGGGTTCGTTTGGCAATAAAAATATTCCCTCTGCTGTTTCACAGTTAGGGGTGTTGAAGGCCTTTCAGAATGAAATGATAAGCACAGATTCCATATTTTATCAGTTCTCTCTCACACACACACCCCAGGATAGAGTGGAGAGGGATATCACGTTTGTTTTGTTTTCCACCCCAGATTCTTTCAAGTTTTATCCAGATTAAAGCTCCAAGTTAACTCTTCTTAAAAAGAACAGCTGAAGCTTAAGAGTTTGTGGGGTTACATCATGTAATGCAGTTCCCTCCTTTTAAACTTCCTGAGATTAATGGCATTTTACGTATCAGAGAAAACTATCCCACTATAATTTTGACTCCCAAGGCTCCTGCAGGTCTCAGAATACTGAGGTCCCCAAACATATTGGGGTCTCACTAGGATATTATAAGGATATTCCTCTGCATTTCTAAAGTGCATTCAGTATTGGAATTACAACTGTCTGCCTGATACACTTTAGCTCTGTATATAATTTGGGGTACATTGCCTCCACCTGACATTTATAACCAATAGAGGTTTTGAATAAATTTGATCTCCAAAATAGGCAGCATTGCTTTAGCAAAGAGGCAGCACAAAGATTCTAGTCCTCACGCTTCTGGATATTTCCGCCTTCTTTAAATATTAGGCTATAGCATTGGGGGAGATGTGCCGTATTCTGCAAATTAATAACCCTAATTTCATTGTTTAAGCTTTTGGCAACCCAACCCTAATGTGATCAGAGTTTTCCAAACACCCCAAGGCAAGTATTCCAGCCTGATTCCCTGGTACCCCACATGTTGCTTTTCCCACAATGGAAGCTGTGGCAATCATTCAGAGATGGGAGGTTGTAGCTTCCTCGGTTGGACACTGAATTTTGAGTGACGGACACACTCAGATCTTCAGGAGCTTGCAGCAAAACTACATGCCTGGTTTGGGAGGTTGTGTTCCATCAACTGCAAAAAAAGAACGGGAAGAGAGATGAAGAAAAGAATTAAGACTATCTCCTATATTTCAGCTGCATTCCCTACGGTTAATCTTTCCTGCTGCCTGCCCCAATCTTGGAAAATAATTTTCTTGCTCATCTGTTCAGGGTGGCTTATATTTTTATTCTTCCCCCAAAGCAGGAGAGTGGACTGAGTGACCTAAGTTGCTCCTTTTAATTTTGTAGGTGTATAATTTCTATTACAAAGAGGACTCAAATTACATTAAATGCATTTGGGCCTTTAACCCTCTGCTGTGCCTCTCTCCCCCATCTCACAAGTTTATAGTGTTTTGCAAAAGTGTCAATCTGTGCATATTCGGAATCAAGCAGATTTTGAGAACCGTTTTTCAGAAGAGCTAGCACGAGGGTCTTTTATTTATGTTAGTAACCAAAATTTAGCCCAGCCCCATCTCAATCCTCAAGCTAACTGTTTTGACCTCTGAAGAGGCTGGAAGAATAACTGATTATTCAGAAAAAATAGAGTTCTGGGAATTGAAGTTCAACATCTTTAAGTTGTCAGACAAGTTGTAAACTGCTGAACTAAGACTATGACTGGGTTTTTCCCAGCTCATTGCGCTGCAAACAATCTAAGCCTTTTTTAGTCATAGTCTTAGTGCAGCCGTTTGCAACTTGCCTGGCAACTTAAAGATGTGTGGACTTCAACTCCCAGAATTCTGGGAGTTGAAGTCCACACATCTTCAAGTTGCTAAGGTTGAGAAATACTGTCTTTATGTATTCGGTGACCAGGACAACACAATATTCTAAATGAGCTTCTTTATCAGAGCAACATCTGTGTTGTGTTAAACAAGGCTAAAGACTTAACAGGTTGTATGAATCCAGCCTAATAATAACAAAGGAAAAGGTGACTCTGGTTGATAAGTTTGATTTTTCCAAAGCTGTGTCCTTCAGAGCATACAGGTACTCCTTGACTTACAATAGTTTGTTTAGTGCCCTTTCAAAGTCACAACAGCACTGAAAAAAAAATGACATAAGACTCCTTTTCCCACTTTACATCCCCATGGTCATGTGATGAAAATTCAAACTGACTCATATTTATGACGGTTGCAATGTCCTGGGATCGTGTGATCACTTTTTGTGAACTTCTGGCAAGCAAAGTAAATGAGAAAACTAGACTTACTTAACAATTGTGTCACTAATCTAACGACTGCAGTGATTCACTTAACAACTGTGGCAAGAAAGTTTATAAAGTGGGGCAAAACTCACTTAACAAATGTCTCTCACCAGTGGTGGGTTTCAAATTTTTTTACTACCAGTTCTGTGGGTGTGGCTTGGTGGGCATAACATGGCTTGGTGGGCGTGGCATGGGAAGTCTACTATAAAATCTTCATTCCAATCCCACTCCAGGGGAAGGATACTGCAAAATCCCATTTCCTCCCGATCAGCTGGGACTTGGGAGGCAGAGAATAGATGGGAGCAGGGCCAGTCAGAATTTTTACTACCGATTCTCCAAATTACTCAAAATTTCTGCTACCAGTTCTCCAGAAGTGGTCAGAACCTGCTGAAACTCACCTCTGTCTCTCACTTAGCAACAGAAATGTTGGGCTCAATTGTGATGGTAAGTCAAGGATTACCTGTAATTCCTACTCTAATTGCCTGCACAAAACAGAAGTTGCTTCCTGAAATGAACATCTCACTGGTTCATCCCTTTTGTTCTTCTTGCTTTGGCTTAAATAAGAAAGGAAAACTGACATGCTCTGGGTAATTTCACCCAAGACCTTGCACTCAATCCAAAGAGATGCCTTCTGCTAGCTCTTGCAAGCACGACCGGAAAACTTTAGTGAGTCAAAAACATCATGGTCTTTTAGTTCAGGAAAAATGGGACGTACATCCATACTGGGATAAGGAAGGAGGGGAGGGGGAAATTGGCCTTTCTTCCTTTTCTTTACAGTTGTCAAGAAATTTAAAATCTGTTTGTTTCCTTGCTCCCATGAGTGCAACCATATATGCACAGCCTTCTTGCAGTCTCTCCTGTTCTCCTACCAGCCTCCTGTCCTTCTGTCATTTCCCTGCTTTGGTTTATATTCGTTGGGCTGATTTAAAAAGGAAAAAAAAAAAAGAATGTGAATAAGTTAAATAGACAAAAAACTCCAAATGGTTCATAATTTTCCCAGTATAGCAGCCTAGGTTGAAATGGGCATGGAGAGTAATGATGAATGACTTGAGAAATGGAGGTGTGCTTGGCACAGTACACACTAGGTGTGTGTGTTGGCCTACAATGAAATGAAGTGCAGAAGGCAGATGACCGGTTGCTCCTTGTCCTCTTCTTGAGCCAATGGAGGTTGGAGAATGCTGCTTTTGATGGGTGGGTGGAGGTCCACCTGGTGGGCTCAGGGTGGATAGAGAATAGCCCTTCATGGCATGGTTGCTTGAGGGATTGGCCCATCCCACTCATGCCAGGAGACGAGGAATGCTGCGGGTCCCGTCAGCCGATTATTCAGGCTGGCAGGGTCCAGGAGGAAGGCCTTTTCAGCGGTTGCTCCTGCCCTCTGGAACATTTTGCCCCCCAATGGGAGGTTGGCCCCAACCCTCCTGCCTTTTCATAAGGGCCTAAAGACATGGCTTTGCCAGTTTGGCTTGGGGCCCCAGTGGGGAAACAGCATAGTAGAGGTGGTTGATTGAGTAATAACAGATCCCATCTCCCCTCCACTCTGCCCCCGCTCTCCCCAGTTGCCTTTGGTTTTAAGGTTTGTTTTTAACTTTTTATCTTTTAGCTTGTATATAACTATAAGCTGCCCAGAGTTGGATCTATGACAACTTGCCATAGCCAACTTGCCATGGGACAATTTGCTGTGGAACAAAAATTACACTAATATTGAAGAACTTGTGGAACAGAATCATTACAGGATGCCAAAGGAGGGACAAAATGAAATGTAAATGGCAAATATTTTAAAAACTACTTTAAATAATTAAATTGAACTGTTGAATTGTCCTGCAGCAAGTTGTCCAGTGGCAAATTGACAGTTGGCAGAGTCATCAAAAATTCTATGCTACAGGGCTGACAAATTATTTCCCAATTGTTCTTATCTTCAGATTGGGATAAACCGTTTTACTTTCCCAGATAAAGGACAAAACAGATTTCCCACTTCACAGTTGCATTTATAAGCCAATTGGATTGTCTGTTCAAGGTGACAATGTTGCTGGTGACACGGTGACATCTGAGAGCAGCAGTCTAGCTTATGCGTTTCAGGGCACACGATCTTGACTGCAAATATATGGATGATCACTAGGTGGTACTAAAGTGTCAAGAGTTTTTGGATCTCTTTTCTACCATCTGAATATTTGCAGCCCAAATACAGTGGCTCTATTTGTATGGAAGCTGGGGGAAAGTCAGATTTAGGTCTTGCTCAGCCCTGAAACTCCCAACTTATCTTGCATTTAGTCCCTACCACTCAACAAGATAAGGGACCTAAGAGGGTACAAAGGAAAAATATCTTCCACTTTGAGAAACCTTTAGGAAAACTTAAAAAAGAAGAGAGACAAAGAAGTGGAATGGGAGTGTAGAGGAAGAGCTCTTAACATGGGATTCCTGGGTCGCATACCATGTAGCCTGTAGGAGGCTCCTTTGCAACGTTTAGTGGGGCGCCGTGGGTCTCGGTTGCCCCGAAGGCTTCGGTGTAAAAGGGGTTGGAGAGGTCTCGAGTTGTCACTCATGCTCCGGAAAATTTGAGAAGGGAGGTTCTGACTGAGAAGACGAAGGGAGTGAATCTGAAGAACAGAGGGATGGGAAACAAGTGCTCAGGAATGGTGGAGGACATCAGGACAGAAGATGGGGTCAAAGAGGGCAGGGGAAGGCAGGCTTTGGGGAGTGACAAAAAGAGAATTTGTCCAACATTGATGGGCCCTGGGGACCTACCTGAACGGAGGTAATATTGATGGGACGGTCAATGAGAATCCAGGTGGCGGTTTCGTAGCATGGAGGGGTTGACATGGATCCTTGGTAAGTGATAAAACCAAATGTCTCTGGATAAAGGTCTTCAAGGCTCAGATCGTGTAGGAGATAAGCATCATCTGTCGAAATAGGTATCATGGCTACCTTAAGAACGTGGGCAGAATTCTGCTGGTGAGATCCTTTTAATTACCGGTTGTGATCTTTCTGAATACTTCCAAGAAACCAATGAATCGGTTAGACATTGGTATCTGAATACAGATCTTTTTAACATTCATATTTTATTGTGTGTTTTTTTAAAATCTAGGCAAAATGTTAATGTATACTGCAAGTCCATGAATGATATGCCATATGCTAAATAAATAAATAAATAAATAAATACTAATGAATAACACATCAGAAGTAGCAATTCTACCATTTGGCCACAGAATCACTTATTCAAAAATTTCATGCTCTCATAGTCAACAGTCTTATCTTCCCTAAATCTTTTGCTGAAGGTAAACGAACTACTGGACATAGTCAAGCTTTGCTAACATCAATATTCCAAGAGGAACTCTTATGTTGTATTGATTCCCACCCAGTCCCCTCCAGTCTTAAAAATTGAAGTTTTCAATGCTCAGCCACCTTCGCAAACTACTTCCTTATATGATACACATCTGTCATACTTGCTTCACTTACTCTTATAGGAGATCCGGGTAATCGTTTCTCGGTTTAACAGCCTGGTCAGGAAAGAGTTAGGATTTGGTCCAATCTGCAAATGGAAATCCAAGATATTGCTCCTTGCTGCCTAACTTCTCACCTCCTCTCCCCTATTCAAGCTCCACCTACGGCAAGGCACTTACATTGGCAAAGATAGAAATGACAGCTAAACCATTGGGATTGCGCGAAGCCTCTGAAATATTGGGATAGAGTTCTTGGTTGTAGTGGATCAACTGCACCTAAGGGAAAGGAAAGAGGAAAAAGTGATTCTTTCCAATTCAGTTTTACTTAGTAAACGTAATGTGACAAATGGCTTTGGAGCTAGGCTATTTGAAGGATTGCCTCTCCCTTATCACATCCACCCAGGTCACCGGGATGGGAAGTCAGGATATGCTATAGGTTCCATCTACCGTAGTAGAGATGTACATTTGGTGAGACCACGAAAAAGGGCCTTCTTGGTGGTGGGCTCTCTCTAGGGCAGGGGTCTCCAACCTTGGTAACTTTAAGTCTTGTGGACTTCCATTCCCAGAAGCAAAGCTGGCTGAGGAATTCTGGGAATTGAAGTCCACAGGTCTTAAAAGTTGCCAAGCTTGGAGACCCCTGCTCTAGAGAACATCATTCTCCCCAAGGTATGATTGGCCCCACCCTGTTGCTTTTCCAAAAGGCCCTGAAGATGTGGTTTTGTCAGGGGGCCTGAGCACCACGAATGGAGATAGAGCCCATCAAGAGGTTGATTTGATTGTGTTGCTGATGACATGGATGGGGGTGGGGTTTTGTGGGTTTTTACGTTGCAAATTTTTAATGTTGTGAGCCACTCAAAGTGGACAACTCATACCTGTGTATGAGTTGGCCAGCCATATAAATTAGTTTAATAAACAAATAAGTAAACAAATAAACAAATACTTTCTCACTTATCCGGATCCATCAAATTCAATTCATAACTTGTTAAAAACTCACTCCAAAATTTATCTCTCTTCTTAATTCATACTTCTTCAAATGTTCATTTTTATTTACAGTTCTGCTTAATGCAGTTACTGCAAACAATTCTTCCTAATGTAGTGCTATCATGGTCTGGTATTAAAAGTTCTCATTAGATGAAGACAAGGAGCAAGAGGAAACAAACCACGTGCAGCTAAGCCCAACAATAATTCTGAGTTGATTTGTAGTATTGCTTACCCAAAAATGTGAGATAAATTTACATTCTAATACAAGCGAAACTAATTTTTATCTCAGTGCCAGTATGTATGCACTGGCCCCTGTTTGCATAACTTATTTAAATGACTGAGGCTAATGGGTAGCTGAACACTACAATGCACTCAACTGCAAAACTATGGGAATTAATTTTAGCCCAAGAAAGCCCTGAGGTTGTTTCAAACTAAACTAACTCTTCCTCATCAACTGTGTCATGCAAACAAAAAAGGGAGGACTCTCAGGAGGTAAGTTACCCTCTCTTCTTGCTCCCAACAGAGAGGCAAAGTCCTAGAGTGGCCAATGTAAAAAAGGAACTTTTCTAGGCCTCTCTCTCCCTCCCTCCCTCCCTCCTTCCCTCCATCTCTCTCTCTCTCCCTCCCTCTCTTTCTTACTATCCTTTCCATCAGATTTTGATCAACCTCATCCTCCCATCAACATCCCTGACTAAACCTTAAGTAAATCTGCAGAGGACAACTTCAGTGCTGTTACTCCTGTTTGAACCAAGAGTTGTATTCACCTCAACAGAAAAGCTGTCACCATCTATCCGGTGTTCTGAGCCAAATCCATCTTCACTCCCAAAATGCAGCCTTATTTCTTGGAGCCGGTGACTGTACGGCAGAGGTCCTCCTGAAACATTAACCAGTTGTACCGGATCTGGACGAAAAGAGACATGCCGGCCTGTGTTGTACATGGTTCCACTAATCTGCAGGAGAAGACAATAGTGACAATAGAGGTTGTTTCCATATCACATATAGGGTATCCAAATAATCTGCTCCTTCCAGAATCCCCTACAGCTGCCATGTGGGCATCTTCTGCAAAACTTATCCTAAAAAGGAAAGATCGATGATTGGGAGAGAAGTTCTTCACCAGTGCTGGATAAAAAGTGAGCATCATCATCACCTAGTTCAAGGAAGCAGGCATCACCTTCTTCCTCGGGGGCTTTAATCATCTTCCAAATCCAATTGCTTATCCCACCTGTAACCATCTGAAGAAGCCAAAGTAACAATTCAATCTGTGGCTGGCCAGACTCCAGCCTCAATCTGCAAAGCTGAAAAGACTTCCAGATCAACTTGAAGACTATGTCCTACTGCCTGCTACCAAAGTGGAATGAGCACGAGCCGACTTTTGTCAGTGAAATGTTTAGCACACTTGTCGTGGCCCTCCCAGAGGACAACTTCAGTCCCATTCTGTCCCTGAAGGGTAGAGGCTGCCTTCATGAGGGCCACTTTAAGGCATTCCATTGTGGAATGGGACAACTCGCCATGGCCAATTTGCCACAGGACAACTCACTGCGGACAATTCAACAATTCAATTTAATTCTTTAAAATAATTTTAAAAATATTTAAAATTTTGTCATTCACATTTTATTTATTCCCTCCTTTGGCATCCTTTCTTTAACAATTCTATCCATTTATTTCTTCAACATTAGTGTAACTCTTGTCCCATGGTGAGTTGTCCTGCAGCGAGTGCTGGGCTTCAAATTTTTAACAACCGGTTCTCTGCCCTAATGACTGGCTGGGTGGGTGGGGCTGGGTGGGCATGCCTTGGTGGGCGTGGCTGGGGCAGTCATGTGACTGAGTGGGCATGGCCAACTCGATGTCACTCATGGCAAGGTGGGGCAGCCCAGGCAGGCCAAAGCAGTGGTGGCCAGAGCCTTGGACTTACCTTTGTGCAACAGGAACGGTGATTCTTCGACGCCCCATCTCTTGCTGGGTCTCGCTGCCTGACAAAGTTTTTAAAAACGTTTTTCCAGCAGAAAACGGTGGGTGGCTACTTCTGGCCTTTGTTGGTGCAGCTGGGCACACAACCCTGTCCTGAGACACTGGCCTGCAGCCACTGCCTCTTTTTTAGCATGAGAAGCCTGCAGCCGCTGGTCTTTTTCAGTGCAAGAAGCCTGCAGCAGCTGCCACTTTGCTGGCTAAAACTGAGGCGGCAGCGGTGGCTGGAGGCTTTTTGCGTCTGCAAATAGTGGCGGCTGCAGGCTTCTCACGCCGGCAAAGAGCGGTGGCTACAGGCTTCTCGGTGGGGTGGGGGAGACATGGCAAGGCTTGGTTGTCTTTCGGGCCCTGCTCTGGGCTGCTGCCTGCTTGACCTCTGCTCCGCCTTGGGTTCCACATCCAGCCTGCGACAAAGGGACATGCCGCTTCCAGGCCAGGCCAGCCAGTAGATGGGCGCACAGGTGGCCCTTGGGAAAGGCATTTTCTCTCAGGCCTCCCACCCAGAAGGCCGAAGCTGGGCCCAAAAGGTGGCCTCGCCTCACTGTGTGTTCTCCTCCCCCCCGCAACGAGGTGATCCTTTGGCTGATTGCAGCGAACCCGGAGCGGATCTTCCTTCCCGCCGTCAACCTTACCTTCTAGCCCATGGGGCTCGCACCATTCTCACAGCAGCGGCCCAGTATGTGGGTGGCCAGAGCCAGGGACTGGTGTGTCCCCATGGCCCCGACCAAAGGCGAAGGGTGAGCGGGTGGCATGCAGGTGGAAGGATGGCAAGAGTGAAACCCGAAAGGTGGCCGAGCCTCACTGTGTCCACTCCAAGGAGGCCCTTCAGCCGAGCACCTTACCTTCACAGGCAGCCATGGTGAGCAGAGCAGGCGAGGCTGGGCTGCATGGCCAGTATGGTAGGCCACAGCAAAGGCAGGCACGGAGATCAGCTGGGCTGCATGGTCTGGGCGAGCAAGCCAGAGAGTAGCTGGGCATGGGCATGATTCTAGCCACTGGCCAAGGCAGGCAAGGTGAGATAGGGCAGGGTGGGGCGGAGCAGGATGGGCGGGGCCAGCCAGTGGTGGGATTTGTCTGTTCGCTGAACTGTGCAGAATCGTAAAAACTGGTTTGCCCAAACTAGTCTGAACCACCAGCAACCCACTTCTGGCTGCAGTGAATTGTCATAGACAAAGGGTGTCAAGGGTGTCATAGACCTTGGGGGCCTGGGGGGCATGACCAGCTTGACATCCGTTTTTGGCTGTGACGGCCTGCTGCAGCATTTTGACAGCAAATACGGAGCTTGGGGGGTTTGCATGTTGGCCCCCCTGAGCTCCGTTTTTGCTGGCAGGGGACCATGGGCTGGTCCTTCATGTTTCCAGGGCGGCCCCATTGGCCAGATCTAAGCGCCCTGCAGGCCGGATGCCAGCTGCAGGCCTTGAGTTCGACACCCTTGTCATAGATCCTTCCATTGTGCCACTCTCATCACAATATGTAGCCCTGAGCACAGCCTTGTACTTATGTTTGATTCCAGTCATTTGCTTGTTTTCTGCCACCTGCACTTCAAGCCATAATTTCTGCTGCTTCATCTTCCAGGGTTTCTTGATGACCATGGAGCCCTGCCAGCCTGTGGACTGAAAGGGGGACTTAGCTACAATCCAATCCACACCTTCATCTCCTCCATATTCCTGAGATTAATCAGGGATATGACTGAATTGTCCTCCACAGTGCTGTTGGTGGCGGGGCAGAGTGGGGGCAGGGAGGGAACTAGGTGCCTGTTGGAAATGGACTGGATTATTATTATTTTTATACTTTTATTCATTAAACATGAAACTCAGTCAACTGAACATTTAAAGATGTATCACAAATATTATTGACTGGCACTGATGGTTGATAGGGGTTGCTGCCAGCATCCTAAATATTATTATTATTATTGTTGTTGTTGTTGTTGTTAATCATTGCACAATCAGCCAGATGTTCAAACTGGGTTTGGCATTTTTGTCTACCTATCGAGTTCTCATCAAGGACCTGGGATGGGCAAATCTGGATGTTTGACAATGTTACATATATCATCATCATCATAGATTAAATATCAATTATTTCCACATTGCCGAATACTAATGTTCCTTGCACCCTGTCTGCAATTTCCTTCATGGACAGGAACATGTAAAATAGCCCTTTCTCTACAGATCAACTTCCTTTTGTGATGTTTGGGTCTTGACAGTTGAACTTTGGTTGGTTACAGATAATAAAATGGGTGTCTATGATAATTTGGCTGCTCAACAAACCCAGTTTATGGTTCACTATGACCTGTTAATAGACCCGGTGCCAGTGGTGAAATCCAATTTTTTTTACTACCGGTTCTGTGGGCGTGGCTTAGTGGGTGTGGTGTGGCTTGGTGGGCGTGGCAGGGGAAGGACACTGCAAAATCTCCATTCCCACCCCACTCCAGGGGAAGGATACTTCAAAATCTCCATTCCCACCCCACTCTGGGGCCAGCCAGAGGTGGCATTTGCCGGTTCTCTGAACTATTCAAAATTTCCACTACTGGTTCTCCAGAACCTGTCAGAACCTGCTGGATTTCACCTCTGTCTGATGCCCCTTGAGATGTGACAAAAATAACTGGCAGTATTCTGGTGAGGGCAGAAAAGATGTTAATTCCTTTCCCTGACCAAGCAGGTAGAAGGCAAAACATCCTGGGATAAATTGGATTTATGAAACTCTTTAAACCTTAAACTTGGTTTAACAACATGCAGTTGCTGTGTTATATAAAATAGTATATCAAAGGTGTTGGACTTGGAAAGGGCTTCCAGTTCCCCTTCAGCCATACAAGCTCCTGGAGGACTTTGGGCCAAGTGAGGACTTTGGACTTTCCCCAAAGTAGGGAAAAATAGGAGGGAGTGTTACCTATACTGCCTTCAGCTCAGGAGTGGGTTCTACTTACCTTTACTACCGGTTCGCAACGGGAGCACGCATGCGTGCTAGCTTTGCTCACACACATGCACTTCTGCACATGCACAGAAGCTTCTGCGCATGTGCAGATTGTCAATCATGATGTCCGGGCGGGTGGGCTTTTACTACCAGTTCTAAAGAACCGGACATAACCGGGAGCAACCCACCACTGCTTCAGCTCCTGAAGGAATGGCAGAATGCAAAGGTAGTCTTCGACTTACAACTATTTGTTTAACGACTATTCAAAGTTATAACAGCATTTTAAATAATGATTTATGACCGGTTCTCGCACTTATGACTGTTGCAATATCCCCAGGATCAAAATTCAGGCGTTTGGCAACTGGCACATATTTACAAGAGTTGCAGCATTCTGGAGTTCATGTGATTGTCATTTATGTCCTTTTCAACTGGTTTCCAACAAGCAAAGTCAACGGGGGAAGCCAGATTCACTTAACGACAACGTGATTCATTTAACTGCATTGATTCGCTTAACAACCAGGGCAAAAAAGTTCATTAAAATTGGGCACGACTTCCTTAATAACCACCTTGCTTAGCAACCAAAATCCTGGTCACAATATGGTCGTAACCCGAGGACTACCTGCATTTCCCCTTCATTGCTGGAATGCCATTTTTCCCCCACAGCCTACAATCCAAAGAAATGAATCTCGGAGCTATTCAAACAACTTCAGGAATTCTGAGCCCATGGAGGGATTGGGAAGGAGTGGATCTTCCCAGAACTTCAGTCGATTCATCTTTGCACACCACCTTGGGGATTTAGATCAGGAGGGCAAAACAAAAGGGTCGATCTCAGATTCTGTCACCAAGTAATATGAGAAAATCTGGAATGAATCCAAATGTTTCAACGCTGGGTGAAGTTACTTGCACTTAGGTGCTACAGAAATTAGCCATTAGTGCAACTCATTTTGTTTTACGATAATGGCTGCACTCCTGGGTCACCGATGCTTGCGTGGATAGCCTTTCCCAACCTGGTGCCCTCCAGAAGGCTTGGAGAGGCAATGCCCCAAATCCACCTTTTGCAGAGAGCCTCAGACAAGGAAGGCTGAGCTGGGAATTATTTTCCATCAACCTTACAGACCCAGACGCACCTTCTTTCCACCAATGCTCAGTCGGAGAGGAGGGAGGAAGGGATCAAAAATCATTTGACTTGTGTTGACATCCACAGGAGACTGGCGTTTGCCAATGGCACAGAGGCTCCACGCTGAATTCACAAGACCCCAGAACGGAGGACCTAAAAAGAAAGAGAGAGAGGGAGAGAGAGAGAGAGAGAGAGAGAGAAGAAAAAAAAAAGAGAGAGAGCGAGAGAGAGAAATAAAAAAAAACAAACAAACATATTATCCCAGCCAAGGAAATATTTTTATCCCTGGCTCTCTAGGGTGCAATTATAGACAAGGGAGAGTGTTGGCATCAGGGGAGCCATTCAGCAAATGCACCTCTGTGTATGTTTGTGCGTGCGTGTGTATTTGTTTGAAAACAGCCTCCAATGTGTGTGGGCGGGTGAAGGAAGATTACAAGCACTTCAGTGTGTTTCCTCCTCATCTGGTTGCATCTGTGCACATCGCTAATATAAAGAAGCACAATATAGACGAGAAGCTGGATGGAACTGCAAATCAATGTAGGATTAAATCTGAGGCACTGAAGGACAGCAACGGGGCAGTGATGTTGGAAATGGCCACATTTCCCTGAAGACCCTCTGGTACTTGCAAATATAAAATCAGCAGGGGAAACATGTGTCGCTAATTCCCAGGACTATTCCTGAGCTGCCTTAGGAGATTATCACTGAATAGGCATGATATTGTATCTGTTCTTGGGTTGTCTCAGTCAGTCCCAAACGGACACTTCCCAGTTGTGCTAATTGCAAAGTCCATCATCCCCAGCCCAAGGATCATAGGAACCATAAGCCACCAGGATGAGAAAGACTGTGCTATTTTGACAGAATGCAAATTGTCATCAGGTGGTGCATTAGAATCAATACACACAAACTGTACACACCGAAGTAAATGTGTGTGCCTGCGCAAATACAGAGATTTTTTAGTTACCCCCCCCTTTCTCTCTGGATGTCTTTTTTTTTTAATAATAAAGAGAGAAAATGTGTATGCTTGCCATTTAGTCAAACTATGTTTCTAGGCTGCCTTTCCTGGGCATACTTCATTTTTGTATGTGTGTTTGCTGGCTTGATTCAGTCTTAGCCCCTCGGTGGTTCTGGCAGATTTTTGTATCCTCATCTATATGTGTACACTTAATTATTAATTCTTTTCCCTTTCCAATCAGAGCTTTGCCTGTTCTTCCTTTTGCCACCTTCCCCCAGGCAGGTGGAGTGGGTGGGGAGATGGAAGAAGAGAACCCCCTGTTTTTGTGCCCCACACTCACAAGCCCACCCCATCAGCCCAGCTAGCCAGCCAGCCACCCATCTACTGTGACTGTTTCTCTTCGCCTCCTGTTCGCTGCATTGCTGGAACAAGCAAGGGAGATATTAAATATTAATGCAGCCTCTTGCAGTTGCCAAGCTGAGCCCAGCCCCCCACCTTAACTGCACTGTGTACAGCTGCGGCGCAGTAGCGCTCTCCCCCCAGCCGCGTCCCCTCCCTCGCAGGAAGACCACAACAACGTTTCTCTTCCTCTTCCTCGGCACCACCACCCTTGGGACTCTGCGAGGCGTCCCCAGTCTTCGACGGGGAAAGGGGTCACCCGTGAGGCAGCTGTTCTCCTCTGGCCTTCCCTTCTAATGGGCTGCCTAGAAGGGGTGCCAAAATTCCACGCTGAGGAAACCCCACTCCTGAGCTCAGAATAAATTATGCAAATGCGCTCCAAATTTGCATGGGCTAAGCTTGCCTAAAACCAAAACGGGGAATTGATTTCCCCCACCGCCATGTTTGGAAGTTTGGAAGAAACCCTGGAGGGGAAGGAGAAAGGGAAGGTGATCTAATCCTGGCTGAGAAATGAGATGGAACAGGGATGAGAGGGAGAAAAGTCATCAAATATTCCAAACAGAAGGATGAGAAACCAACCAACAGTCCATTCCTAATCCAGGGAAATATTCCCACTGACATCCAAAGGAATCTATGGGGAGAGAGTCCCCAAAATCAATATTGTGGCCACTACCATCATATAATAAAAATATCACTCTTTTTTTTTTATTTGTGTGCCATAGGTAGCATAATATAAAAGGGGTGGGAGCTTTTAGCATATGACTATGGCCAACATATTGAATGTGTTATCCCTCTTCCCCCCCCCAAAAAAAAACCCTGCTTGCACCCATTCCCCACTATTATCAAATGCCTGTCCTTGGACACAATGTTTTATGTCAGCTGATGAGGGGTAGAAATAAATGAAGTGTTAAATAAAGGAAGTGCTGAATTTATTAAAGGGCCAATGTGCAAGACTCTGTTGGTTCTGGCTGAGATAGGGAAAACAGCAAACTTTGAAAATTGGGCTTAGGAATGTCATCCCAGGAGCAAAAATTCTTAACCAAGAATATGGTCCAGCAATCCAGTTCCTTTATCAACCTGCTGGTCTGTTTCACTCTCTCATCATTCATTTGGTTATTTCCTATATACTTCAATTTTGAACTGTCTGCAGATATCAAATTGTCTGCCAGGTCAGAGGATTTTCATCTTTCCATAATTGTCTTCATGACAATTCCCCATTCTCTCCCCCCCTTTTTTTATTTTTTTTTAGGTATGCTTAGATGGATCAGGGTAAGGGGTCATTTCTGGCAATGATGCTAAGGGCTTGCAGGCCAATGTAATAAGCCTTGTAGTGGCCCACAGCATCAGCAATCGGATGCCTCTTATTATCATGGAAGCATCCTCCAGTTTGGGCATAAATAGAACCATTTCCCCCAAAAGAAAAATAAATATTTAAACAACTGATACACAGTCTGTCTTCTTGGTCCTTCTAACCTTTGTAATGGCAAGTAAAGCTAAAGAGTTGGGTTTTTTTTTTTTTTGAGTCAAGGTTGACTCCTAGTGCCTTTATAGGAACTGCCATTTTAATTTCTTGGCAATGATACTGGGATGGTTGGCCATTGCACTATCTTGGAAGATTTTTTTTCTTTTTTGACTCTCCAGACTAGCCAAATTCCTTAGAATTTCCTAATAGTCTACTCTGCAAATACAAGCCAGGTCCAATTCTGCTAAGCCTTTTGAAATTAGCTAAATTTGGGTTGGTGCTGCCCCCTAGCCAAGTCTTAAGAACGTAAGAAGCTCCTTTAAATCAATTTAAATGATTGGGTCATTTGTTCCCAAACCAAGTAAAATGCAAATATATTGGTCTATATTTCCCAAAATTTCTATGCCATAAGAGAAGCTTGGAAAAGATCATCCAGCACATCTGGATGGCACCATGTTGGAAAAAGCTGAGGAACATCAGAGTTTCCAGCATAAGTTTTCTTGTCAGTCATTCTTTGAACCTTTTAGCTGGAATTCTGAATTCAAAGCAAGTGTTTTCTGCTAAGCTCTCTTTGAAATGGTCAGCCAAAAGGAGAAATACCAGTTCAGACTTAACTACGGATCTTTACAATATTCTGTAAACCATACAGCATTGGTCAATAGGATGTTGTAACAAAAAAAATAAAAGACATGTATTATACATGAGGGATATTCAATGGCTCCAATACATGTTTCGGTCACAAGACAAGACAATTCATGGCAAATATCTCCCTCATGAAGAGGTCAGAGACCTAGAAGGAATATGTAGGATGAGAATCTCAAGAGGACATCTAAAGAAGAGAAGCTACTCTTTGTTCTTTGGAGCATTTGCTCCAACCCCTATCCAGGCATGGAGAATTTTGTACCTGGCACAAAGCTTCCGTGAAGTGTTTCCTTGTATGCCCACCAGTCCTCATAGGTTTTTGCAGGAACAAATTGCACTAGAAAAAGGAGGGAGGAGAGGAAAATGAAAGGAAAAAATGGTAAATTAGCAAAGGCAGTTGGTGAGGGGACTGGAGCAAAGAAATGGCATATATCTTTCTCTCTGTTTGCCACTCCTTGCCATAAAGATTATCTAAACTTCTTTTCCTTCTCTTTGTCCTTCGTTCTTGAACAGACTATCTAGAGCCCAAACTGCAAATGCTGAAATGAAGTACCCGGACTGGCAGGCTACATCCACAGCCATGGGAAACATCCAAAAATGAGAACAAATCAAAGCTACTCTTCAACAGTATGAAATATGGAGAAAGAAACTTCACATGCTCAGAGACACTTTTGCCTTTCCATTGGTGCCACTTCTTCAGGTTTGTGTCCCGAGGCTGAGGTGGAACAGCACAGGTGTGATCTCAGCCTGGGGATCAATTTAAGCTGTGGCTGATCAGGTGTTGGAAAAGGTGCATACAGCAGATGGATGAAAAGCGAGAGGGAACGGAAAGAATGTGAAGGAGAAAATTTTCCCCTCAGAACAATTGATTGATTTCGTCTCTGATTAACCAGTATCCATAAACGAGGGGGTCTTTTTTTATGCACGAGGGAGGGAGGCAGACACACTCACCTGCTCCCAAATCTGATTGAAAAAAAATTGTGCATATATATAGATGATGGGGGGTTTGGGCAAAGGTGAGAGAGAGTTACCCCTGACTGTGATTCCACTGGGACTGGCTTTATCCTTTTGTTCATCCTTTCTTTTTACAACAAACAATTCAATCACCCACCCCCCTCCCCAGCCAAAAAAAACATTCCAAGCTAATCTCCCCCCACCCCATCCCTTTCTCTCTCTTACCAGCCATACAAGTTGCTCTCAGCAGCAGCAGCAGCAGCAGCCCTGGCGCTCCCAGCAGGCAGAGCCCCCTGCCAGGTCCGGTCCACATCCTGCTGGGTCAGGAGGGGGCTTAAAGCCGGAGCTGCCCCCTCCTCAGCATCCCGCGGCAAAGACCCCGTTCACAGCCTCCGGAGAGAGAGACGGAAGTCGAGCTTCCTGGCGGCCGGCCCTTATGCGCCCCGCGAGCGAGCCCTCATCCTCGGAAGCCCCCTGCCCTTTCCATGCCCTCTCGCTCTCCGGCTCCCTAGGTCTCTTTCCTCGACGCCTCCATCTCCATCTTCCTCCTCCCGCCCCTTCTCCTGGGGATACCACCAACTCCCCCCCCCCACGCCGCCCACGTCAATTAGATGCGGAAGATGCTCGGGTGGCGTCCGGGGAAGCGAAGGAGCTCCGGCCGTGAAGAGTTTGCACGCCGGGGAGAGCGGGTAGAGCGTGTGGAAGAGCTGCCCCCCCTCCGCCGCCTGGTCCCCCCCCCTCGAGGCGCCGGAGTGGCGGGACTGCCCGCTCCTCGGCTGGGGGCGCGGGCGCTGGATCCGGAGGGTGGCAGGAAGGAGACGCTGCTGCTGCCCGCGAGGCGCCCTTAACTTTACTTCTTTCTCTCTATCTTTTCTTTTCTTTCTTTCCCACCGCCTCTCCCTGCCTCCCCGCGGACTAGCCTTTTCCGCGCTGCCCCCTTTTCTTTCCCCGGCTTACCTTCTGCTTTCCTTCCCTCTGCTCTTCTCGCTTTTTTTCCCTCCACCTGTCTTTCTCTCCCCCCCTTTTTTTCTTATGTTCCCCCTTTCTCACTCTTCCTCTTTCCCTTCCACCTTCCCTTTCTCTGCAATCCCTCCTTCAGCTTTTTCTCTGCCGTCCTCCTCAGTCGTTCTTCTTTCTCCCCACTTTTTATTTTTTTGGGGGGCGCCCGGCTCCTTGCCTTATCTCAGATCTCTCCCCACTTTCCTCTCTTTCTCTCTCTTTTCCTCTCGGGCTCCCCTTCTCTTATTCCTCCCTCGCCTGTTTTTCTCTCTCTTCCTTCTCTGCATCTCCTAGCCAAAGCCGCCTCCCCCTCCTTTTCTCCCCCCCCCACTTCTAAAATGCACAGATCTTCTCTCTTTCCCTTCCTCACACCCAGGGGACCCAAAGAGATGCAATTGAGAGAGAGAGGGAGGGAGGGAGGGGGAGGAAGATCTTTTAAGGTGGATTGGAAGGCTGGTGGATTCCCCGAAATTGGTGATCTCAACTTACGTAGATGCAGTGAGATAACATTTCTCTTATCCATTATGTCATTCCAGGGGAGAGGATGAGTAGTTCACCCAACAAAGATGCCATCTTACTCCATTGTTGCAGAAAAGGACTAGGAAAGAGGGGTGAGAATCAGGCTGCAGCCCTAAAGCTGGTATCAGCTGATTCACATGAACATAAACTTGAGGTCACCAACTGGAGACCTCTGGACCAATTTGACTCCTGAGCATTTTGGCCAGCACAAATTGGAAGCAAGGGAAGATCTGGGGTGAAAATGGAATCTCTATCAAAGGATAAATTGGCATCTCCGGTGCCTACATGACTTAAGAAGTCTTCTCAAAACCCTTGCAATGTCAGCTTGAAGGCACGAACCAATTTGGAGAGAAGAGTGTTTCTACCAATAAAAGAGAATATTTGTAGCTCAGGGTTGAACTGTGGGGTCCTCAGTGCTCTCTAAGCTTGGCTGTTTTCTTGCAGCTGTTTCATTATCCAACTTAGGTAACATCATCAGTGCAAACCCCATTCCTTCTAGCACTGATGATGTTACCTAGTTTGGTAATGAAACCTCTCCAAGAGAACAACCAAGCTCAGAGAGCACCAAGGACCAAGAACCTTTTCTACCTGAAAATGGGCCACGGGTGTCCTAGGGTAGGGTGGGGTTTAAAAAAAGTCAAGATGGCAGCTGCAACTGTGGGATAACATCTTTTTTTTTTTTTTTTGGAAATGTCACAAATGTGTGGAGAAGGCAAAATAGCTTCTGAGGAAAGTGAATGTACTAGGAAGATGGTGGTCTAGGGCAGGTGTCAGCAACCTGTGGCTCTGGAGCCGCTTGCAGCTCTTTCGTCCCCCTGCTGTGGCTCCCTGTCTGCTGAACCCACCACTAGCTGGCCCTACCTCTTGCCCTCCTCTTCCAGTCACTCCTTGCCTGGACTAAGAAGGTGAGGGTGATTAACTAAGGTAACACCAGGAGCCGCAAAATCTGGGTAAGCGTGTCTGGGGGGCGGTTCATGTGACTGAGTGGGAGTGAGTGATGTTGAGTTGGCCACGCCCACCCAGGTTGTGTGGCTCCCTGTGTTTTCTTTTCTGTGGGAAACAGGTCCAAATGGCTCTTTGAATGTTTAAGGTTGCAGACCCCTGGTCTAGGGTTAGGAGGAAAGGCAGACAAAAGTAGGAAGGACAGTTTTCAGAAAGAGGTGGATTTTGACATAGTTGCATTCTTTTTGTGCCTAAAATCTCAGTTCCTGACTGCAAATTATCCTCTCTTTTCATGGTGCCCTCAAATGGATATTTGCTTAGGGATGTGTTCTGTCCCAAATCAGTAAAATGAATCTTCTTTTTTGTGGATTTATAATTGCCATACTTAATGAAGCTATAGCATGAGTGCAAAAGAAATTTTACAGGTAGTCCTCAACTTAAAAATAGTTTGTTTAGTGACCATTCAAAGCTACAATACCACTGAAAAATGTGACTTATGACCGTTTTTCACAGTTACAATCTTTGTGGCGTCCCCATGATCATGTGATCAAAATTCAGATGCTTGGCAACTGACTCATACTTATGACAGTTTTTGTGTCCCAAGATCGTCAACTTTTGTGACGTTCTTACAAGCAAAGTCAATGAAGAAATCAGTTTCACTTAACCAGTGGGTTACTAATTCATCAGCTGCAATGATTAATTTAACAAGTGTGGCAAGAAAGGTCATAAAATGGGGCAAAACTCACCTAACAAATGTCTCATTTAATAGCAGAAATTTTGGGCTCAGTTGTCATAAGTTGAGGACTACCTGTATTTTGTCATCTTCAAAATACAGCTAAGCAACAGACATGGATGATTTGAATTAGTACTACAAGAAATCACGCTTTAAAAGTATGAATCCTAGATCAGGCTATATGCTTATTTATTTAATCTGTATCTTCTCTTCCCTTTTCCCCATGGAGTTCAAAAGAATCTATGGATGAGTGCACAGAGCATAGCAGGCTAATGTGATTGGCTACTTTGTGGCTCAATATTTGTTGCAACTTTATTGTTAGTGGTTAATTTACAGTTCAATGGGTTGTGTGAATCCAAACAATTGAATTAATGTAGGAAAACATGGCTGTCATCTGGATGTCTTGCTTGTCATAGTTGAGGTCCTTCCTCATGATATAGATTCCAACTCATTGCAAGCTTCCCATGAGGTAGGCTGAAACTGATCCAAGGACTCCTGAAATAAAAGTTGGACTTAGTCCTGGTGTCAGCAACCTGTGGCTCTGGAGCCGCTTGCAGCTCTTTCGTCTCCCTGCTGTGGCTCCCTGTCTGCTGAACCCACCACTAGCTGGCCCTACCTCTTGCCCTCCTCTTCCAGTCATTCCTTGCCTGGCCTAAGAAGGCAAGGGCAATTAACTAAGGTAACTCCAGGAGCCGGAAACCAGAGGATCATCTTCCTAGCGGGCGCAGGCGCACCGGGGTGGCTGCTCTTCCGGTTTCTGGCACATGCACAGTTGCAAACACGCTCCCGTTCTGGCACTTGGTGCCGAAAAGGTTCTCCAACACTGCCCTATACTTTTACAAGCGACTGTCCAGTCTCTTCTTAAAAGCCTCCAGTGATGGAGCACTCACAATTTCTGAAGACAAGCTGTTCCACTCGTTAATTGTTCTCACCATTAGGAAATTCCTCCTTAGTTCTAGGTTGCTTCTCTCTTCAATTAGATTCCATCCATTTCTTCTTGTTCTGCCTTCAGGTACTTTGGAGAATAAATTAACCCCCTCTTCTTTGTGGCAGCCCCTCAAATATTGAAACTGCTATCATGTCCTTCTAGACATGCCCAATTCCTGCAACCGTTCTTTGTATGTTTTAGCCTCCAGTCCCCTAATCATCTTTGTTGCACTTGTTACAAAGTCCAAGTCCTTCAATTCCATTGACCCTTATCTAACTCGTAGAGTCGTCATAGGTGCTAAAGGTTGATTGAGAAGATTCCTGTGGTTGGCATGAGTAGCAATAAATCAGCTTTAATCGGACCTTCACGTATGGATCTGCTCTTCTGTGCTTGACATATCCCAATTTTATCCAAGAGCTAAATGGAAATTTGAATCAGGGTTTTCTCAGTCCTAATCTCATTATAATATGGGGAACATATAATACTCCCCAAAGAGTGGGACTATAGCAACTTCTACCATATTCTTTGCTCATGCTTCTTGGGATAATAGAAGTTATAGTCCAACATCTTAGTTTTGCCTACAGCTGCTCTAATGAAAACACATTACATCTTAGTTTTCCCTTCCAAGCTGTGGAATTTAATTTGACAAAATGTAATGTTTTCTGCTGGTGAGGTATGATTTCATTGGGGCAGGCAATTGCTGATAAAACCTCTACAATTTTCCATGTGAAACAGATGGCCTGCACATATTTGTGCAACTTCTTCTTTTCCATAATAGGATTTTAAAGGAGGGTGACTGAAGACAGGTAAAACAACAGCGCCTGTATCATGTTGCCCAAAATAAGTTTGCAGGCTTGTTAGGGCCTAAGAAGTGTCTTTATTTGTGGTTTTTCACATTGGGATTTGTATAAGAGATTCTCTCATTTAGCCTCAGAGATTAATTATCTATGCTGCATTGTTCTCATGGCAATGACACCATTGCCACAGATTGGCTGAAATATGGCAATGTCCAGATTAGAATAAATAGACAAGGTTTGTTTTGATGAACTAACAAAAAAAATTGCCGAGGTTGAAATCCCATCTTGCAAGCTGAAGTCATCAAATTTATAAGGCTTATGCTAATAGTTTCAGTAGGTTTCTCTTACGTCACGTTCGGTTATAATGATTTCATTTGGCTGTGCTGCAAGAGTCCAGCAAATCAATTTGCACATTGGAGATTATGGTTTAAGCTTTTGGGCAAATCCAACTACTGTGGCTAAATTTTGTGGCTCAGAACAATAAGTGAAGCCAACTATGGCCTGTTGTCATAAAGATTATATGTTAAATGTTATAAAGCCACCTCGAGTTGGTTGATAGACAGATGGGTGGCATACAAATTTAATATTTATTTAGCATATGGCTTCATTTTTGTTGCCATGTATTTTGAGAGGCAGGAAAGTCTATAGCAGGGGTCCCCAAACTTGGCAGTTTTAAGACTTGTGGACTTCAACTCCCAGAATTCTTCAACTCCCAGAATTCAGTTCAGCATAGCTGGCTGGAGAATTTTGAGAGTTGAAGTCCACAAGTCTTAAAGCTGCCAAGTTGGAAGACCTCTGGTCTACAGGGTAGTCTGGTTGCCAGCAGTTGCTAGTTTGTTTAGTTCACGCTGTCACACCCCACAAATTTAATAAGTAAATATGTGAAGCAAGCTAATATGGCTGGTTCAAGAAGCTAGGATTTAGGAATTCTCAGACTTTTGAGGTTGGTACACACCATTATGGATGCATGTTAAGAGTCCTATAAGAAGTGGCAACTATAGGAGGTTAAGTTTCACATCCTGTGGAAAAAGTTTTACCCTTAAAATCTATGGAGATTCTCAGTCATCCAGGTCATGGTTGTCCCAGAGTTGCATTTTCAAGAGGCAATTGGACTCTCAAGAGCTGAAGAAGCTTCTTGGATGAGAAGCGAAACCTCTTCAAAGAAAAACCAGAAAGTCCATTTGCCTCTTGAAAAAAGATCCTGAGATCTTTCTGGACTTCGCCCCATCAGATTCATCTTGTGATGGAGCGGTGGGGCAACCTTTTTGCTGGCCTTCGGACCATCTGGCCATCGGACCTTCTGCGGGTCAACTATTGAGCAGGACGTCTCTAAAAGAGGATCTCGCCACCTTAAAAAAAAAAAAAAAAGAGGTCCCCGGTTAGGAGGCAAAGCTTGAGAAACGTATGCGAAGGGAAGTCCCGCCCAGAATCCTTGGATTGGTTATCGCAAAATCAGGACGCCCGAGTCCGGTGGGAATGAAGTGAAATTTAGTAGGTTATGAAAAAAGGAAGGGCGGAGAGCCACCGATTTCGGCTTCGCGGCGGTCTGGGGGAGGGAGCGAGGCTTATTAGTGAGAGACTGCAAAGGCGGGTTGGGAAAAAGCCGTGCCAGAAAAATCGGATTTTCTTTGGAGAACAGACGTGTGTCTGGAGTTCAAAACTAAAAGGGGACGTGGGGTTTGTTGCGTAGGGGAGGCCGGGGACCTTCCCTCCGGCATTTAAGACAACAGGAGCCGTTTGTGTAGAAGCCAAAAGTCAGCTTTATTGGGAATTATGGATAAGTAAGGATGAAGTGGAAATAAGGTTTTTCCCGGCAGGGTTACTCCGTTTTTAGAGCTGTCTGATAAAACAGAATTCCAGACTTTTCAACATTTCCTATCCAGAAAGGGGGAAAGATAAGAAAGAAGCAAATTCACCTGTTGAATGTCTACATATTCCAGCCTTGTGGTGGAATTGATTTCTTCTGGCAAATGTGACCAAATTCTCCCTTTATTTACTTTTAAGCAGGAGAGACCAACATGATTTTCAATCAGTGTTAATTGCTTAAACTACTATGGAGTTTGTAAGCCACGATGTGATGTATAAGATGTAATTTCTGAGTGCACCCACTGCACTAAGTCAACCCAAATTAGTTACGTAATGACTTAGCTTGTTGCCTAAACCAAGGCAAACAGAAGCTAGCTACTTGGATTGATGTAATACTGCTATCTGCTCTAATCATATCTGGTTAATATGTAAGTATCTTTTAGTGTTCCTGTGCTTCTTAGTTGACACTTTGTGGTATCTGTGAAACCTGCTTTGTTACTCAGTGGTCTAAATGTCCAGGATAAATATGATGAGGCCAAGTCTAAACATTCTTAGTAGCAAAGATTCAGTCAGATGGAACTCTTACATTCCCTACAATCTGGAAGATGATTGGCTGGGGAAGATTAAGAAGTACTCATTTTAGGCTGGTCAAACAGTGTAGAAATTACAAGGATTTCTTACTTCCTGCAAGCAGCTAGGAAATCATAGAAGCCTCACTAGGCTGTGAAGATTCTCCAATAACTCTTCAAAGCCTATCATTCTTTATATTTTATTTATTTATTTATTTATTGGTTTGATTTTATATGCCGCCCTTCTCTGGAGACTCAGGGCGGCTTACAATGCGTTAAGCAATAGCCTTCATACTTTTGTATATACCTGCTTAGTAGGGCTTTCGGCTCCCCCTAAGCGGTGTTCTTTTTTATACAAAGTCAGCTTATTGCTCCCACAATCCGGGTCCTCATTTTACCTACCTCGAAAGGATGGAAGGCTGAGTCAACCTTGAGCCTGGTGAGATTTGAACTTGCAATAATTGCAGGCAGCTGGTGCTACTTAACAGCACTTTAGTCTGCTGCGCCACCAAGGCTCTTACATCCTTTCAGAGTTATTTCCTTACCTAAACAGAAAAAATAGAATAGAATAGAATTATTCATTGGCCAAGTGTGATTGGACACACAAGGAATTTGTCTTGGTGCATATGCTCTCAGTGTACATAACAGAAAAGATACATTCAAGAATCATAAGGTACAACACTTAATGATAGTCATAGGAAAACTGTCAATATAAATCTTAGGATACCAGCAACAAGGTTACAATCATACAGTTGTAGAACCAAACCAGACAGTTATAGGGGTGCAGATGACAGACTCAATTGCCATATACAGGAAGAAAAAGTAATGGGCGTGACTTCTGATTTCCTGCTGGCTTCCCCAATGACTTTGTTTGTAGGGAGCTGGCAGGGAGTGTCAGAAATCATAATATGTTACCGCAACTGACCATTGCAATGTAGTGACCCACAGTTTTGCAAATGCAATTGGCCTGAAGATCCTTTAAATTTCAATTGCATGGGTCCTGGATTTTGTATGCATTCTTTAAGTTAATGGATTTGAGACATCTTGATTTAAAAACCTTTGCAGTGCGATCCACCATTTGGGCTTATTGAAGGTTACAAACAGGCAGGTTTACTAGTATATAGATATCCTGTTCTTTATAGGTGTGTGCCATTGCTTCAGATTTTCATATGCTCCTTCTAAAATGTTGCTATTAACCCTGGGTAACTTCTTTGAAATGTTGCACAAAGGAGTTTCTATGAGGATTCACTGGTTAGTAGACAGGCTTCTGTTTGCGCTATTCCCAAACAAGATACATTCACTGCATGGAAGCATATTAGCCGATCCAGAGAATGGCTCTAGATGGACCTGCTAGAATTTTACTGGAAGGAAACTTTAATTGAGAGGCATTAACAAGAAACTAAACCAAACCAAACCAAACTAATCATAAAACCCCTGTGGAGTGAAGGGGGGGAGGTTGTGTTTTTTTTAACTCTCTCATTAGTCTACCAGCTCACTCCCAGCTGCATTTTACTGCATGTATAAATCAAGGATATTTGCAGGAAAATGAAAAAAAAAAAAAAAGGTCTGTATTTAGGTTTTATAAAAAAAGGCAGAAGTACTGAAGAGGGAAAACGGGTTTGGCTGCTATACAAAGGGAAATGATTTGAGCATCTTAGTAGGTTGAAAGCTAAACAAGAGCCTGTAAGAATGTAGTGCTAATAAAGTTATTGCAATTAGATTACATCACCAAAAACACTGATCAGATCATGAGAAGTAATTGCTCTACTCAGTCCTGTGTTGCTCAAGTGCCTCATTGTAAGAAGGGTTTTGATAAACTGGACAATTAACCAGAAGAAACTGGGTATTGGTAAATAAAAATGACCTCAAAAGAAGTTTTAACATGATCCTACAGAGGAGAATGTAAAGAAGCAGAAGGCGGATATAACCTTCTGGATATAATTAATCTTCAAACAATTCCAAGATTAGTCCATAGAACATACATGGGCTACCTGTGGTTCACAGGCCACTACAAACCCAACAGACAAGTAGCATCTTCCTAAAGAGGCCAGCTTTTTTTTTTTTGACCCATCTGGACTTTCACTACCTTAGCATTACATCCCTGCAGCTTTTAGGAGCCATAAAGAAAGGTAAAAATAGCCCAGTGATGACCAGGATGGAAAAGTGAAGCTCTCTGTTCTACAGGGGAAGTCAAGAACTGTGGGCAAAATGCAGGGAAGCAGATTCTAGTTAAATGGGAGAAAGAATGTCCTCATCGTAAAAATTGCTTGGTTGTAGAATCTGCCACCTTGGTTGGTGGCCAGCTGAACTATGATGAGATGCTTCAGCTGAGGATGCACAATGTCTTCCAATTCTGATTTAATCTGCAATGATTTGTTGGCACTTTACACCTGAAAAGTAGAGAGAAACAGGAGGTCTGGATTCTTCTGAAAGGAAGAAGTTTCCAGCAGGTTAGATTTAGCTTGCCAACATGTTTACTTGGCACAGAACCTATGCCTTTAACATCTTCTCAAAAGATCAGCTCTTAGATAACTCCCTCTTTCTACCGTTCTTCAAAAAACACAAAGCAGATTTACAATGGGTTTATTTGACAATCTTGATGGTGGTGGATGGGAACTGAACAGTTGGCTTTTATGGTTGTAGAATATTTGTGTGAATTAACTGATGGCCCATAAGAATGTAGATGGACCAATAATTTAGATCCAGATCCTGGTAGCAGAGATTTTGGTTGCCTGATGAGAAAGGAATATCTGTATGCCCTAAGAGACTCAAAGTCTCATCTGTTGAATTTCTTAGGTTATATATGTTAATGGCCCTCTTTTCAGAAGAAAAGATGGTACCTCTTTAAATTGGAGACTGAGCACACTCAGCTTTCTGGATGATGCTGAATTCCAGTTTTCATCAACCTTAGTGTGTATGTGTAGGGGAGATTGTGGGACTTGCCCAGGGGTGGGCTTCAAAAATTTTAGCAAGGGTTTCTCTGCCCGGTTGCTGGGTGCATGGCCATGGTGGGCATGGCCTAGTCAGCTTCCTGCACCATGGTAGTGGTGGGGGTGCATTTTTGTCCTCCCCGGGCTCCAAAGGCTTTTCTTGAGCCTCTGGGAGGGCAAAAACGGCCTCCCCAGGCTCCGAAGGCTTTTTCTGGCCTTCCCAAACTTCCAGTAGGCCCATTTTTCACGCTCCCTGAGTTTCCGCACGTGCCTTGCACTTACCTGCATCCAAAATGGGCCACGTGGGGACTCCTGGAAGGGGTGGGGTGGGGTGGGCGGGGCCAGCCAGGAGTGGGATTTTGGGGTTCTCCAAACTGCACAGAATCTTAGCTAGAGGTTCTCCCGGACCCCTGCAAACCCCCAGCAGCCCACCCCTGGACTTGCCCAGCAGCATCTGGAGGGCTGCAGGTGGTCCTTTTCCTGCTATCAATGAACACCAGAGGACCCTTGAATGGAGGAAAACTCTCCATCTGAAGAGTGAGTTACAATTGGGAATCGTGAGCCCTCTAGTAGTTACCAGAGAATTAAAACTGAAGGGGGTAAGTCAGATGATTGGATTCTTTTGAAAAGCAGAGTTTGGCTGGTAACGAAGCCTTGTTTCAACAGGCCAAGACCGATGAATGCCTTGCTTTCCATTCCAGGATTGGGGAACAAAACAATAATAATTCTACGTGAAAAACAACAACATTCTTTTCCAGTAATCGCATCAATGGGAAAACAATATGTTACAGAAAGATGGTAGCAGTGCATATTTCTTCTGAGTCTGGATTTTACTTATTATTTCTCTCTGTGTGTGTGTATGTGTGGAAGGCAGGGAAAACTGCGAACATACACATGTGTGACCTTAATTTCATTGTGCTGGCTCTCTTCCCTTTTCAAAGGACAAAGTCTCTTTGTAAATTTCTGTCAGTAAAAGCCAGGGTATTTTCTTCTGCACAGTCTGTGCCACAAAGAGGAGTGGCACGAAAGGAGGCTGGAAGACAAGAAGAAAAAAACAGGTTTGGAGAAGCCGGGAGGCTAATGGTAGATTTTGAAGAAGCAAGAAAGGAAAACTTTGGAATTGCATTCTTCCTCTTTCCCATTAATTCCATCAAAAAGATTCTCTCCTTTCCAGGGACAGAGCATTGAAAGGACATTTGGACTTCTGTTTTTACTTCCTTTGTGTCTCTTTCCTCCTTCCAGAGAAACACAATGGCCGAACGGATTGTTGAGTCTATTCAGTATGGAGGAATAACTTTTCCCAGCATCGTGCATAGCGAAGAGAGTGTATGTTACGCTCACCGGAATTTTGAAGTGCGGGATAGTGATGTCTTCAACGTTACATACCCCAAATCTGGTGAGCCACAGAATTGCCTATCCCCTGGAATTTCGGGGTGAAAAAATATATTAATTTATACTTTCATGGTTCGCTTTGACTCACTTTTCTCTAGAGTATATGTCAAGGCACCATTTCCTCTTTAGCAGTTGTGTGGAGAGATAAAATTATAATAGCTAGAACTTTTCCAGAAAAATTACCTAAACTAGCAGTGTTTGAAGTGCGTGAAATCAAAATCTTATAAGCACAAATGCCTTGTTGGAAAATTTAAAAAAGTGATTTTGGATGTATGCCGGTACTATTTGCAGTTCTGTCTGTTGGTGAAAGGGTTGTCTTAAAACTATGAGACAGAAAGAGAAATAGGCACTTACTGTGCAGTATATTGCGTCCTGTCTGTTTGTCTGTCCATCCTTCCAATTTTTTTGATCCACCGAAACTAGTGACCAAGTTAATGGAGGTGCATGTATGTGGGGAAACCCAAAATATTGAAGTAATACCTGGGATTTTGTTTGCTTAGTGCTATTTCTTGTAAGTATGGTTCCACTGGATCATTTCAGATCCTAATGTTCTGACCCAGGCTTCCTTAAAAAACATGAAGCAGACTCTTGGTCCCGGCAAAACCTCTTTTATTTACATGACTGTGAATTTCTTTCATTCACAGTCAGCAAGGCCAGACAAACAGTCTTTCAGAGGAATATTTATCAACACGAACTTTATCTCGCTTGGAAAACTGCCAGGTAACTAGTTTCCAAATGCAATGCAAGGCAAAACTCGGTACAGAGTCTCTTAGAGTCACGAACAGATCTTTTCACTCTTGCGACGATCGAACGAATGAATTGTTTCCTGCAAAAGCCCACTCCCCATTCGCTCCCCTTTTGTTTCCTATGGGAAAGGCCAATCACCTCCAAGGTGTGGCTTTACTCCCAAGTCGACCCTGCTTTCTTAGTTGTTCTTGTCTTCTAGCATGTGCACACTGGGAACAGGTTCCAGCTGTTCCTCTGCCTCACTGCTGTCTAGCTCCCTCTCTGCCTCTGATGTAGAACCCTCGTCCGAGTTTTCCCCAGCCCCCAGGACTGGCCATTGTTCCTCCCCAACCTCCTCACTGTTCAACTCTGCTGCTAGTTCCGCTGGCCGCCGACAGGCCACAACACCTAAACTTGGGATTTCTTCCACAGCTCCTACAAAAAGCTTTGGTAGATTCCTTCAATGACGCCCTGCAGATTCAGGGTAAGGTTGAAATATAGAATCTTCTTGTCTTGTTTTCAGGAACAACTTGGATGCAAGAAATTCTTACTTTGATCTATAGCAACGGAGATCCCACGTTCTCACAGTCAACCCCTTGTTGGGAACGGATGCCCTGGGTTGAACACAAGACAACAGTCCAGTACTTGGAGAACCGACCCTCTCCTCGGCTCATTACTTCTCATTTGCCTGCAACAATTTTTCCAGAAAAGTTCTTCTCTTCGCAAGCTAAGGTGATTCCATTTGTACATATACCTAGCGGGTGTGCATATATAAAAAAAATATTGATTCATTATACAAGCCATGGATTGTTTAACAATGAATTCAGTGGTAGGATCCAATCTGGGGTTAGTCACCAGGACTAGAAGTTTAGCTTTTATACTCGTGCTGGAGCTCATCCTCAGGAAATTTCTTTGTACCAGAATGTCTACACAGAGAGAAGTTCCCTGAGGATGGGCTCCAGCAGGAGTCCAAAATTTCAAAAGACTAAACTGTGGTTCCGGTGACTGACTCAGATTGCATCCTACAACATTATCCTGGGACAGGTATATTTGCCTTCATTTGTGAATTCAATTGTGTCTTCAGTAAGGCACAATTGTAATAATTGTTTACAACCATGATGGCCAACACACTATGCCAAAATCAAAGAAAACCCATTATGAATTAATGTGATGGATGAATTTTAATTACCTTGCGTATTAGAAAGCATGCCTCCATTGGTCACTGCTAAGAAATCAGCCAGCAGTCAGAGATGGGGCATTCTGATAACTGGTAAGAGAGGTTGACATTTCCTCCTGGCCTTACCAAATTGCACTTTGGGAAGGAACTATGGGAAAAACCATTGAGATTAAGCCATTCCAACACTGGGAAACTATCTCTTCCAGGTTATTTACACTGTCCGTGACCCCAGGGATGTCTGTGTATCGCTCTACCATTATACCAAGATGACTTCATTTCTGGAGTACAGGGAGGATTTTGGAGAATTCATTGAGCTGTTTTCAGCAGGAAAAAGTATGGGTAGAGGAGGAAATTTATTTGTTCACCAAAGGCAGTAGAATCCCTAGTAGAAAGAGTCAGGGTCAGAAGTTCCTCCTTGACTGCAATCTTCCCCCTTCTATTATTCTTGATGATCCATCTTTCCCCTTCACATGTGGTGGTGCAGTGGTTAGAATGCAGTATTTCAGGCTTGCTCCAAGAGTTTGATTCTGAGCAGCTCAAGGTTGACTCAGCCTTCTATCCTTCCGAGGTCGGTAAAATGAGGACCCAGGTTGTTGGGGGGCAATAGGATGACTCTGTAAACTGCTTAGAGAGAGCTGTAAAGCACCATGAAGCGGTATATAAATCTAAATGCTATTGCTAGTGCTATCTGAGCAAGTCTGTTCTGGATGGACAACCAAGGTCCCAGGCTAATCTTGAACCCCTGAAGTTACCACCAAACACAATAGCTCAGAATTGATGGTGCTATTTCCCTACATTTTGAGGTAGGAAATACATGAGAAATAATCTATAGTATGAATCTTAGATATTCTAATAATCTGAGTCCTAAAATAAATTAACTTGGTATAAAAATGCTAAAAAAAAATAAAAAAACAACCCCAGATCCAGAGAGAAACGTGCCATTTCAGCTATGGCCTTCAGGGCTCTACTCATTACTCTGAAATCCTCCTTAGATTCATCTTTAACCACCAACATTTTAGTCATCCATCCATCTTAGCCCCTTCATTATAACCCCTTTGCTGTCTTCATTCTTTATATAATGATACGTGAGTTGCTTATGCCATTTTTTGTCATACAATTGACCCGCTTTTAACTGCTCACAACTCATAGTGTTGACCTCTGGCATGTATAAAATGCAACTGGTAAATCTGATTGCTTCTTTCTCAGTTCGGTTGGGTCATGTTTTGTCTGACCTGGAACCAATTAAATTATGTCCTCTGATGAAGCAAAACGCCAGTCCTTTGCAGAATCCCCTTGTGTGTCAAATGTCTGTGGATGTCAAGTCTGCACTAACAATCTGCTTTGTCTCTTAGATGATAACAAATGGATTCTGTCAGGTGAACTTTTAGCTCCTTTTTGTCTCCTTAGCATTCCTCCCTTTGGCTGAGATGGTGTTTTTTGGTGACAAAGTTAATAGATTGCTTGTCAGACACATGTGGGCAACATGGTCCTTCCCCCAAATGTTTTGGATTTTGGTTCCTGTGGCAAGGGATTGTAGGAATTATAATCCAAAACATCTGGAGGTGCAGTACCCACCTCCTTTTGCTATGAACATTTGCTTAGAAACCAGTTTTGCTGGGATCAGTGGAATTCACTGCATATAGGTTTCCAATTTCAGGATTATTTTGCTTACTATATTAAAATCTATGCAGTTACAAAAATGTTTTTCTTTTTATTTGCTTACCCCAGTTCTCTTTGGCACCTGGTTTGATCATGTCAAAAGTTGGTTGGCCTACAAGAATGAGAAAAAGTTTCTTCTCCTGGTCTATGATGAATTGCTAAAGGTAGATGTCCGTCTCCCTATCATTTATCTATATATCTACAGTATCTATCTATCTATCTATCTATCTATCTATCTATCTATCTATCTATCTAATCTTTCTATCTCTATCATCTCTCTCTCTGCCCCTCTTCCTGTCTCGTCTATCTGTCTGTCTGTTTTCCCGTTTATCCGTCTATCCATCCATCCATCCATCCATCCATCCATCCATCCATCCATCCATCCATATCATTTTCATTCTTTGTTGCCCCACTCCAATTCAGGAGTCATTTTGTCCTAGAGGTCAGAGATCTAGCTTTTCCTCATGATCTTCTACCTTTAGGACCTACGTGGCAGTGTTCTTCACATCTGTGAATTCCTAGGCAAGAATCTGGATCCTGCTGTGGTTGACTCAGTGGTGGAAAATGCTTCCTTTGGAGTGATGAAGAACAACAAGATGGTGAATTACACCTTGGTTTCTGAACATCTGCTGGATCAAAAGATCAGCACTTTCCTAAGGAAAGGTAAAAATCAAAAAGCTTTTAGAAAATCTACAGTTCAAGGAATCTCCAAAAGTTGGTACAGAGTGCCTCACCTTTTTCCTTCCCTTCCCTTGCAGGGATTTCTGGAGACTGGAAAAATCACTTTACTAAAGAGCAGAGTGCTGCTTTCTACCAGCTCTACCAGGAAAATATGAATGGTTTAGAGACCAAATTTCCTTGGGATGAATTCCAGGTTGAAAAACATCAGGAATCTTGAGATTTTGGAGGGCAGAGGGGACTGCTGCAATCCAAAAATGCCAAACTTTGTGAATTATAATAATATATTTCATTCAAAATAGGCAGTCCTCAAATTATGACTGCAATTGCTGTCACTAAAAAATACAATCATAAAGCATGACCTCGCACAATCACATCACTTAGCGACAGCAACCCAGACCTACCCTGTTTCCCCGAAAATAAGACTCAACCTGAGAATAAATCCTAGCCTAATTTTTCAGGATGCTCGTAATATAAGTCCTACCCTCAAAATAAGCCCCAGTTAAGATTGTCAGCCAGATGGATGCACTTAGTACAGTATTTCCCCCAAAATAAGACCTAACCAGAAAATAAGCCCTAATCCGTCTTTTGGAGCAAAAATTAATATAAGGTCCTGTTTTATTTTATTGTTGTTGTAACCCAAGATATGCAAGTTATTATGTGTGAAGCAAAACAAATCCCAGGGAAAGAGTGAGCAGATGCCACTGGGGGCGAGGGGGGGGGGAGAGGCCCTGAAAGGCCTGATGCAGGCCATGTGAGTGTAATGTGCATGCATCATGTGTTGGGGCCACAGGAAGAGGGTGTGGAGTGTGGGCACGTGCATATTGTGAATGTCGATTCAGTGGGCTATGGAAAGATGGTCTGGGGAATGTGAGTGTGTGCAAGCACAGGGAAGCTGGAGCAGGGGTGAAATGCTGCCAGTTCGGACCAGATCGCCCGATCCAGTAGCCATGGCGGCAGGTGATTCGGAGAACGGGTAGCAAAAATCCCTCCCCCCCCATGCCCAGCTGAGCCGCACGATCATCACAGGCTTTTTTTTACTTTTAAAAGCATTTTTTCTTTGGTGGAAAAAATGCTTTTAAAATTTTTTAAAAATGCCTCTGATAATCGCGCGGCTCAGCTGGGATCGTCAGAGCCTTTTAAAAGCATTTTTTCTACAACCTCTTTGCCCGAAAGCATTTTAAAAGTATTTTCTTTTAAAAGTAAAAAAAAAAAAAATTTGGTCACACCCACCCAGTCACATTACCCACCCACCCCCACCAACATGCCCATAGAACCGGTAGTAACAAATTTTACATTTCACCACTAAGCTGGAGAATATTATGTTCAATTGTGGGGAAGTTGTGGAAAGAGGGTACATGTAGATGAGCAGGCTGAGTTGGAAGGTGAAGTTAAACATTCATCAGTCTGGAGTCATTGTGCAACCACAAGAGACCCAAGTCCATCCCATCCCCATGAATTCCATTGACCCTTATCTAGCACCAATTTATCTTTGACCATTAGTTGACCAGATTCTTTTGTATTGGTAGCAACAATAAACTTTTTAATGTTTTGAACTCAGCAAGTGCTCTTGGTTACTTGCGCCCGACAGGATGGAGAATGTGTGAACGAAAGGGGAAGGAGGATGCGATGTGTGAGCGAGTGAAGAAAGTGGGGGGAGACCTCCCCAAGGGACATGCAATCTTTCTCACCAGATTCCCCATTGACTTTGCTTGGTGGGAAGCCATCAGGGAAGATCCAACAAATGTTGATCATGTGACTGTGGGCCACTGCAACTGGTAATATGTATGAACTGGTTGCAGGCTTATGACTTCACATGACTGGGGCTGAAGGTTAATACCAATCATAATTATGTCCGTTCATTCATGCTGTTGCAACTCCAAACGGCTGCTGTATGAATAATCATAACTTGAGGGCTACCTGCAGGCCCTACTCCTAGTAACTGCAGTATAGGAATCCCAAGTCTCTGCATGTTTTGAATTTCTGGCCATGTTCATGCTTTGTACCTTTAAGCCTTTAACTGTGAAAACAGTAGAAAAGAGAAAAGGTAGAAACACCCCCCCCCCCAATTAAGCAATCCAAAGTGGAAGCATTCCATATTTGAGTGGTGCTTCACAAGCAGCAAGAAAAAAAAAAAACACACACACACACACAATATAATTTGTCTAGAAAAAGAGTTATATTTAGATTCTTCCTTACTTGCTATTTTCTTTATGCAGGGATTTTTTTGAAATCATGGAATAAATATAAACCAAAAGTTCTGCTTTGTTGCTCCGTGCCTCCTTCCCCCCACAAAATGTTTATTATATTTTTATCAATGTTATCTTGCCCTATTGTGGATATTACAAAAAGCAATGGCAAATGAAATAGTAAGTGCTATCACAGCCGACCACCAGATGGTGATGCTGATTTAAACATCAGGTGGGAGCAATGAGAGTCTATTTGCACAAACAGAGATTACATTTGGATTGTCTTTCACTAGGATTGAACCATCAGGAATAAAAGTGAAGCTGTGAGGCCCAGTTCTTTGGGGTCCCAAGCAGGGGTGGGTTCTACTTACCTTTACTACCGGTTCGCAATGGGAGCTTCTGCGCATGCACAGATTGTACCTTATGATGTCCAGGCGGGTGGGAAGAGCCTCCCGCTGCTTTTACTACTGGTTCGTAAGAACCGGACAGAACTGGGAGCAACCCACCACTGGTCCCAAGGGCAACAGGTAATTCAATAACATTTGAATTGGGACCTCCCAAATTAGTGTTCTTATTAATTTTTTTTTATCAGAAGTAGATTGCTGGTAATACCTGGTTATACATGGCATTTTTTCCTCTACAAATATGTTATTTCCTGTGACTGACAATGCTTTTATTGTCAGTAATGAGGGACTTCCTAACTGAAATGACAACTTTTTTTTAAATTAACACCTGGAAAAGAGTCTGCTCACACAAGACAGCTTTTCCTATTTACTCTCATAAACTGCGAGATAACAAAATTCCAGCTCTAACCCCAATTACATATAATTTCTCTAGTTTGTCTCAGCAGGAACCCAAAACCTGCTAGACATTTAATCCTCACTAATACAGGTAGTCCTCAGTTTATGACTATGACTGAGCCCATAATTATGGTCATAAGTCATGCTGGTCATTAAGTAGGTCATCATGTGACCCACCTGGTTTTATGACATTTTTCTGCGGTGTTCATCAAGTGAACCTATTATCTGCAGTGGGCACTTTTGGGTGAAATCCTGAAGTAAATGCCAATTTCTGGCAAAAAAGTCAGAGATTGTGGTCATGTGATTGCAGGATACCGTAAACAAGAAGTAATGAATAGAAGATTTATCAAAGAGAGATCCAACCTATAGTAGAATTAAGGAAAAATTTCCTGACAGTGAGAACAATTAATCAGTGGAACTGTTGCCTTCAGAAATTGTGGGTGCTCCATAATTAGAGGTTTTTAAGAACAGATTGGACCTGAGTGGTGCAGATGGGTGAGAAGCCTTCTTGGAACTGCTGAACGGACTGTGTTGTAGACTGGAGATAGATGATGTTGTATCCGTTCCCCTCTGTTGAGAGAGAGCTGTTCAATTTTGACATAGATGGCCTCTTTGACCCGCTCTTTCAAACCAGTGGTCCTCTTTGTCCAGAATGGGGACTTTGCTGTTTTCAAAATAATGGCCTTTGTCTTTTAAATGCCGATGGACTGCTGAACCTTGTCCTGATGGGTTTGTTCTTCTATGTTGTACCATGCGTTCATGATGTGGTTGTTTTGTTTCTCCAATGTACAGATCTGCACGTGGCTCATTGCATTGTACTGCATATGCCACATTGCTCAGTTTGTATCTGGGTGTTTTATCCTTAGGGTGGGCAAGCTTCTGCCTTAGTGTATTCTTGGGTTTGAAGTATGAACATATGTTGTGTTGGCTGAAGATCCTACTGACCTTTTCCGACATTCCTGCAACGTATGGAATGACAATGTTGCTTCAATTATTGTTCTCTTCATTGTCTGTTATGGAGTAACTCCTGTAGGGTCTTTTCTGAGTTTTGATGAAGGCCCACTTGGGATAGCCGCATGTTCCGAGGTCTTCCTTGATGTCTTTTAGTTCTTTTTCTTTCCCACCTTTGCTGGCAGGCAGGCCTTCAGCTCGAGGGGATGGGTGAGGGGGGGTAGGATTCTGAAGACTCCCATTTTTGCTCCAGTGGGTGGTGGGAATCAAAATGTAAATATTGATCTCCCCCCCAGAGATACGGAGGATCCCGGACTTACGCACTTTCCGGCGTGCCCTCAAGACCTTTTTATTTCAACAGGCTGGCCTGGCCTAACCTCCTTTTTAATTGTTAATTTTAAATTTGTTTTAAAATAATAGGGGTGTTTTAAATTGTGGGCCAAATTATTTAATGTGCTTTTACATTGTTTTTAAACTTTGTATTATGTGTGTTTTATCTTTTGGCTGTTCACCGCCCTGAGTCCTTCGGGAGTAGGGCGGTATATAAATTCAAAATAAAGTAAAGTAAAAGTAAAGATCTCTGTGTGGGGGTTTTCTATAAACTTCAACGTTAAGGCTTTTGCCTTCCTTAATGCGTACTGCAAGTCCAGGAAGGCTAGAATATTTTCCTAAACATCTTCCCATGTGAATTTGATGTTTCTGTCGAGAGTTGATACTTGTTGATACTAGTTGAGAGGTGAATGCTTCCAATTCCTGTGTTTTGATTTTGACCCAAATATCTTGATCTTGACCCTGTTTTCGGATGAAGGTTGACTAATCTTCCAGAAGATGGCTAAACAAGTCCTGTCATTTGGGTTCCAGACAATTGATAGTTCTGTATTCAGAAATAGCAGTAACCCGAGTGGTGGTGTGACCCGTCAGCGGCCTGTGCAGCTAGTATCTGATTCCGACAGCGAGGTGGCTGGTGTGGTACTGCCCCAGCAGCCGGTGCAGCTGGCACTCGAGTCGGACAATGAGGCTGAGAAGATGTGGTGCCAGAGGCGGGGATTCAGCCAGGGCCTTCAGAAACTCCAGAAACTCCCATAAGTGAAAAGGAAGAAGAGAAGGAGCCTCTTCTCGATTCATGGGCGTGCAGAGCTGCCAAAAGGCAGGAGTGGTTCCTCAGAAGGAGATCTCCTCAAGAGTAAGGCTTGAGCTAATTGGCCACTCCCTTAGCCTATTTAAGGAAGGACAACGACTGAGGCAATTTGCAGGGAACAACTTCGTTCGCTCTCCTTTGCATCCTGATCTTAGTTCTCTTATCCGGTTCCTGCAAATTGCTTCTGGGCTTTCGGCCAACCATAGTAAGATTATGATTATTTATTCTTTGGATTCTTGTAGGCTGTTAAGAAAGTTAATTAACAGCCTTTATTTGAAAAAGACTGATTTAATTTAGTAAACTAAGGTTTGTACAGATTTTGTGTGTGCTGTGTTCTTTGGGGTCCGTAGCTGGGGCAGGACAAGTGGAAGGTTTTGACTTTGTCACTTGGACAACTTGAAGAGTGGCATAGAACTTCCACCTCAGGCGGCTACTCACTATTACCTAGGCCTGCCTCCTCCTGTGAAGAGTGTTGATGATGCTTTCCTCCTGGGAACTGGTGCAGGGTGGATGGGAAAACAAAACCCGGGGAATCTATCAATGGTTGCCCTTAAATTGTGCAGTAGCGAAGCTGTACGGATAGATCACTTGCAAGCCTCATTACTGAGGGCGATTTAGAGCTTGGCCATCAGGGTAATGCAAATTACGCTGGCATATTTTTCTGCACTTTGGAGGAATATACATTAATGAGGCTATGAAAAAGAGCTTTACAGCTTCCTTTGTCTCTATCAGGCTGCTGAGCCCCAAGTTTAGAATTATTGCATTATATCACTGTGTGGAAGTTGAAGCTTTCCGACAGGAATCACAAGCCCATTTTTTATAAGAGAAGTAACTCTGAAACCAAGACAGTCTGACAAAAAATAATTTTTGGTCTGAATAAAGAGGACAATCTTTTCCATATTTTCATACCCACTGTATGTTGCACTGAGTTCCTGGTATAAATAAGATTGCATCCTGAGATGTAACTGCAGTCGGAATTTAGGAATATCTTGCTCATTCCATAATCCATAGGGCTCCATAATCCTAACCCTAGTATCTTTTGGATAAATTTGGTTTCACTCTGATTTTTCTTTTTCAGAGAATTCTTTTTGGTTTTTTCATCTTTGTGATTTCTTTTCTCAGAAGTCAGAATGCACAATGATTCACATTTTTGGAGACAGTTTTGCAGTCTTCCCTTGTAAAAATATTTTCCCAAATATGCCTGTGTGTGTGTGTGTGTGTGTGCGCGCACACACACACACACTTACTAATATGCATATTTTTGTGTGATGCTTTCAGACAGGAGAACTCTATTACAAAATGTACAAAAAGGTGTAAGTGACCGTGTTTGCACATTAATTTGAAAATGCAGATTAGGTAAATTAAATTAAAATGCAAACTCGATAAAGGTTTATGTTCTTAATGTTTTTAAGCAGCTCTAGGATCCAAAAGCTGTTGTGTCCTGAAGCAACTAATTATAGAGAAATGCCCTCTGGGCCCAAC